GAGAGTGTGTCTGTGCGCGCGCGTGTGTATGTGCGTGCGTGAGAGTGTGTCTGTGCGCGCGCGTGTGTCTGTGCGCGCGTGAGAGTGTATCTATGTGCGCGCGTGTGTATGTACGTGCGCGCGTGAGAGTGTGTCTGTGCGCGTGTGTGTGTGTGTACGCGCGCGCGTGAGTGTGTATGTACGTGCGCGCGTGAGAGTGTGTCTGTGCGCGTGTGTGTGTGTGTACGTGCGCGATAGTGTCTGTGCGCGTGTGTGTATGTACGCGCGCGCGTGAGTGTGTATGTACGTGCGCGCGTGAGAGTGTGTCTGTGCGCGTGTGTGTGTGTGTACGTGCGCGATAGTGTCTGTGCGCGTGTGTGTATGTACGCGCGCGCGTGAGTGTGTATGTACGTGCGCGCGTGAGTGTGTGTGTGCGCGCGCGTGTGTAACGAGCTTTGAGTCTCGCACGAGCTGTTAACGCTTTCACGGCGCGCGTAAGACTCTGCTGCGGTGATAGTTGGACAGATCGTCTGCGGTAGTGCCGCCGCTAGCGGGGCGGGCGGGGACCTTTGTTGCTGCGGATAATGACGCATAAATAACGGTGGGAGCAGGGTAACCCCTGCCACCGCCCACCTCCCCCTGCTTCCACGTATATTATCTACTGTCACCAGTTCATTAGCCGTACGTTTACATTACCTTTACGATTTACAGTCAGCGTGCGTGCGTGCGTGCGTGCGTGCGTGCGTGCGTGCGTGGACACAGGGCGGGTGATGAGATAGAATACGGCGCAAAGACCACGAGAATGTCGGAAGCAGGAAGACGAAGAGTGACTGGGCGACGCCCCGAGTGTTTGTTAACTTAAGGAGTGGAGAAACTCGGAAGAGAAACCCACCCTCTAGGAGGGGGAAGGGGGGGGGTTGGAGGTGGTGGTGGTGCTGTGTGTGTGTGTGTGTGTGTGTGTGTGTGTGTGTGTGTGTGTGTGTGTGTGTGTGTGTGTGTGTGTGTGGTGGGGGTAAATTGTCGCGTGTCGTGCGCCACCTGTCGGGCGTTATGCGTGATAAATGACAGGAAGTCGTAATGCCATTATAATATTAGAGATTATAGAGAGCGGTGACATACAGCCTGTGTCCGTATGTACGGGGAGATGAAGGGGCGACGAGAGAGCGAGAACGTAAGCGAGAGAGAGAGCGAGAGAGAGAGAGCGAGAACGAGAGAGAGAAAGAGAGAGTGAGTGAGAGAGAGAGAGAAAGAAAGAAAGAGAGAGAGAGAGAGAGAGAGAGAGACAGTGAGAAAAAAAGTGAATGAGAGAGGGGGAGAGAGAGAGACAGAGACAGAGACAGAGAGATAGAAAGAGAGAGAGAGAGAGAGAGAGAGAGA